AAAAAAACACATACAATAAACGATGACAAAAGTTGCAAGATTCATCCCAAAACCTAGTAAGCATCAATACAGAACTACTATAGAAGATCAAGTACATAACTAGACATCTACAAATAATCAGGTTGTCTCGAAATATAAAAGACTAGTCAAAATATATAGAAAGAGATGATTGAACTTCGGATTCTAGTGAGCTCACCCTCAGTCTGAGAATATTTGCACGACTAGAACTCACCTGCATCAGGAAAAAGAGACGAAGTGCAATATGAGAACCAAAAAAATGAGTACTCAGTAGACATCATAGGCCGACCAAGCTCGAGATTATAAAAGCATAATAAAATGTGAATTAGTAAAATGGTAAGTAAGTCAGTTATAAGGAATATTAAGCACACCTAACAAATCATCCTTTCTAAACATGTAGAAAATTTCCTAGCAAGCTTAATTCGGTAACTATCTTCTAAACACACCTAACAAATCATCCCATACTTTAATATATATTGGCATTGACAATTTAAATTTTTTAATAAGGTATTTTATATCGAGTTTCCAACAATTTCAGTTTTTTTTCTAAAAAAGCTTATTATGTCTTCAAGAGGAATCAAATCATCATAAAGAATAGGTAAAAGGGTCTGGTGGACCCTTATACTTGTATGCGTTTATATTGTGAATCCTTTTACTTAATCCTTTACCAACTAAACCCGTAAACTCGAAAATTTTCATTTTATAAGAGGCACAAGTATTATGTGGCAGATAATACTTGTGTGAGGTCCTCTCATACCTTGCCAAGTGGACTTTAAGTCCCACTTGACAAAAAGACTAAAGACCCTCTATCTTTTTGCTATTCAAAAACCTTTTCTTTTTTATTTCTTAGTTCAGTTAATGCTTTTTAAATTTATACTCCCTTCAGTTTTATTATTTTCGTCCACTTTTAATTTTCATAGTTTCTTTTCTTAGAGTTAAACTATAAAAAAATTAACTTTTACTATATATTTTTAATCATATTTTATATACAAAAAATGGCAATTTATAGTATGTACTTTTCGTGTAGCTTTTTAATATATAAATTTTTTTGTTTAAGATATCGAATTAATGTAATCTAATTTAGCTTTGAAAATTGGTCAAATTAACTTGCGCAACATGACAAATAAAAGTAGACAGATGGAATATTTACTTGTCAAGTATTTTTATAATTTGATTTTTCTTTTTACTTATCATTTTTGACAAATCAAGGAAGAACAATTTTTTCCTATTATACCCTCAATTTATTAACATTCAGTTCATGTATTTAAAATACATAGTGAGTAAATATATTTAAGACTCTATTAATTAATAAGTGTAAAATGTTAAACTCATTATACCAATTATTATTTTCTTAATAGGTGTGTCAAGTTAAAATCAGACAAGTTAAAAGGGACAGAGCCACGGAGGGAGTATTTTTTATTTTTCTATTCAGATATGCCTTTTAAATATTTTTGAAAAAAAAAATGAAAAATTGGGGATAGGGTAGGGAAAATGAAAAATTAGGGTAGGGGAAATGGGGAAGGGATTATATTACAATATGAAAAATCGAATCAAGAGTTCAGGTAATCAATCAATTACGCTAAACTTTACTATTTTCTTACTAAGTATTTTCATTCATCAAAACCTCAAATTTAATATTTTTATAGGTCTGTTTGTGATTTGGTTTGTATCAATTTTTATTAAAATATAAAACGTTAAAAGTTAAGCAAAAAAATATACTGGAGAATGGTATGAGAAAAAAGAAGAGATAAAAGAAAAGATTACAAATGAATGACAAAAAAGTGAGGAAATGAAATGGGTAAATTATGGGACCTATCTGTACAAATGTCAATTAAAGAGCCCCTCACACAACTGACACTAGTTGTGCCTCTTAGGGGTACGTTTGGTAGAAAGTATTAGGAGAAATAGTCTATATATTATGTATGGTATTAATTAGTACTATATTTGGTAGAATTTTTGGGCCTAAGTATTACTAATTCATGAATTAGTTATACACCACATAGTATTATATGATGTATTACTAATACCTTCAATTTGGTGGTATTAGTAATACATTGGATTTAATACCATGAGATTATATATCTAAAGACAAAAATATCCCTAAAATCATTTTATTTATTTTCTTGAGTTTATATTTTATATTTGTACTAGTGAATTTATTTAAATAAATTAGCTTACAAGTTTTATTATTTAGAGAGAGTTTTTTATTGATAAATAAATGCAATACATATCAATATAATATTTAAAATATGAGTTGTTTACATTTACTTATTGAAAAGGCGAATATATCACCACACGACGTTTTTGATCTTAATTGAATATATTATTTGTTGATTTATATGTGGCTTCTAATTATTTGTTTTTTGAACAATTTATAAATTGCATATATATTAAAACTACAACTTGCAATTTTTATGTATAAATGTAGATGAGTTATTTGATTTTACTATTGTTTATCGTCTTTTCGATTTTAAAGTAGATGAGTTATTTGATTTTACTATTGTTTATCGTCTTTTCAATTTTAAAGTAGATGATCTATCTATTCTAAATTGAAAATTAACGTTTTTTTAAGTGATTGATTTATTAAGATGATAATTATTTACCCTCAAATAATTCAAGTGAGAAAATAACAAACATGACAACAAAATTGTTCTTCTCCCAGCTAGTTAGAAGGCCATATAAAAATAATATTGTCCGGCAATTATCTACCTTGTCCCGATTACATAAAATAGAAAATCTCATAATAATTCAAGGGTATAATTGGAAAGAAGTTTTTTGTAGAGTTCTAATCCAAACACAAGATGAGTTGGGAAGCAGTGAACCAAATACTTGATAAAAATATACTATGCATTACTAATCCCAACACTACTAATCCCTACGTTACTAATCACTGTGTTGTTTATTTTTCTACCAAACGACTCTTTACAGAATAATTTATTTCCTAAACTCAATCAAAAAATAATTTTTAAACCCCTCCTACCATGTGTGTAAGCTCACTCTCCCTTGATTAGATGACATGTCAAATCCATGTAACATAAATTAATACCATGTCATAATTATCTTTATTAACTATTTTTAAAAATTATTAATTTATTCTTTAATGTAAATTTTGTGTTTCCACTCATCTTCTACCCGATCCCACCGTGAAATGGCCAAAAATTCGCCGGAGAAAGCTGTCACCACCACCACTCCTCTTGCCGGCGAGACCGCAAATACTTTCTCCTTGACACGTCTCCATCTCCATCAATCACCCTCACCATTTTCCTTTCTTTCTTCTCCAACATCCACAAATTCAGAAACCCTAAGCCACCGCACCAGAACTCTGGAGGCCAAACCTCTTCGCCTGTCGTGACCATCTCCTCGCCCCTCACCCGCCTTGTTCTCCCCTGTATTGTCATCCTTTCTCTACACCACCAGTCATCCCCTGCAAAACACCAGGGGCCGCCTATCATTGCCGCCTCTGCCGAATCAGCAGGAGACTCTCCACCACCTCCATCAAACCAGCATGCCAGGAGACTCCTCGTCGCATCCGCGTATCAGACCGTCTAAAGAAAATGAAAGAAAAAGAAGGGTTGAGCAGGGATTGGGATGGCTGAAAAAGTAGGTGGGTGGGGTGAAGAAGAAGGGTTTTTAAATTATTTTTTTATTCTTTTAAATATGGTGTTCACTTGCCTTAATACGCGTGTATTCACACTCTCTAGCCAGCTCAATCATCTTAATGTCACATAAGCATGGTCAATGGTTATAGAGGGACTTAACATATTGCAATTTATTGAGTTTAAGGATCCAGTTGATAAAAGTTAAGTAGAAAGGTTAATAATACAAATGCGTACAAGTATAGGGGTCCATCAGACCCTTTTGCCTAAAGAATATAGCAAAAAACTTAAGCAAGTTCTATTTCTGGACTAAGAAATTACTACCTCCGTCCACTTTTAAATGTCATAGTTTTCATTTTAGAGTCAAACTATAAAAAAATTGACTAACATTTTGTGATATATTTTTTCATCATATTGATATGCAAAATATTATAATTTATAATAATTTTCATATAGTTTTTGTTATATTAAGTTTTTGTTTAAAATATCGAATTAATATAATATAATTTAACTTTGAAAATTAGTCAAATTGACTATCGAAAAGCACAACATGACAAATAAAAGTGGATGGAGGGAGTACTTAGTTAATGCATTCCAGACAAATACTCCCTCCGTTCAACAATACTTGTCAAATTTAGAAAATCAAGAGATAATTTACATTTTGTATTTATTTTACTCTTACAATTAAATATTATTTATCATCTAACACATTTTTCAAAATATTAAATTTAATAAAGTCAAAGGATAATAAAGTAATATTACCCCTATTATTTATTATTTCTTAAAAAGTGTATCAAATCAATAATTGATAGCTATTATTGGACAGATGAAGTAATAACAATAGTTAGATAGTATAATTTCATAATGTGGAATCTTAAAAAGAGTAAAAGGTACGTAGACATTATTCTACCCAAAAAATAAAGAGGGTAGAATGCTTAAATGCAATATTTATAGATATTTTGCACTGGCAAATAATAATCAATTAGTATTAAATAAAGTTAGTATGCTCAAATCGAGCAATTGTTTTCCATTTGAACATGGTCGCAATTCACCGGCATTTACCGGTCAACCTCGAACTCGTAGGTGGAAAAACTAAAATCCCAATTCCACCCCCATATATGGGACCAAAACCTTTCCTCCCAAAATAAATAAAGAAACAAAAAAGGTGTCTGTCTTCACACTTGAAACCCAAAGCACAAAAGCCTATACAAAAAAGTCTTAAACTTTCTCTCACTACTTTTGTTCTACAGTAACAACACAAGTAGCTCCAGTTTTGAGCAAAAAAAAAGAGAGAAAAATGAAGAAGAATCTAGTCTTTTGATCGAGTCCTTTAGTCCGTCGCCTATGGATGAGAACGAAAAGAAGAAGCTAAAACCAACAGAAACGATGAGTGCTTTGTTTCCCGATGAGAGTAGTAGTTTTTTCTTTGATATGCCTTTATGTGAAACCGAAAAAGGCTCTTCTTCTCCAATGAGCTTAATTGAATCCATGTTTGCTTCTCATGATGATCCAATTACTGATTCTTCTTCTCTATTCGATTTGCTTCAACCTCCCCCTTCTCCTCTTCCTCCACCACCACCACCACCACCACCACCACCACCCGATGTAGCTTTGTTGATTCCCTCTCCGATTGCTAATACTTCTGCTAATTCCTCCGAAATCTCTTCATCGTCAACTGAAGTTGCAGCGAATAATGAGCATCAACAGATGATTGAAACAGTAGAGCAACAACTTGAAAATGATGAGGACAAGATCGATAACCTACAGTGAGCCTTTAAATTAATTTTGCACCGTTTTTATGGATAAAGACAGTTTCTCTTTTATATATTTTAAATAAAAAGTTTTTTTTTATGCATCATTAGTCAACAAAATCTAGGAAGATTTTTGTTTATGATTTAATTTTCTTTTTAAGCAAATTAAATTAATAAGATTGAATGATGGATACTGTTTAATTAATTAGGTTAAATCCGAAAAAGAGGAAGACAAGGAAGGAAAGAGAGCCCAGATTTGCGTTCATGACTAAAAGTGAAATTGATCATTTGGATGATGGTTTTAGATGGAGAAAATACGGACAAAAAGCTGTGAAAAACAGTCCTTTTCCCAGGTATGAATGTATATTCACACAAACACGCAAATTCTTCTTAATTAATTATCTACCTACTATTAATCTTTATTAGTAATTTATTCTCATCCACCGCTTTTATATATATATATATATATATATATATATATATAATCATAACGGAATGTTTTTTTTGTTTTTTTTTACTTTTAGATTTTATATTTTCTAATACTAGTCAAACAATTTGATTTTGTTGTTGAATAATGAAGGAGTTATTATCGTTGCACTACTGCAACATGTGGTGTGAAGAAGAGAGTGGAAAGGTCTTCTGAAGATCCATCAATAGTTGTTACAACTTATGAAGGTGTTCACACACATCCATGCCCCGTTACGCCACGTGGCAGCATTGGCTTTTTTCCAGAAACCACTGGCTATAGTGGTGGCTCCATTGGTGGTCTTGGTGGTGTTGCTAGTAATTCGTCTTTGTTTTTCCCAGAATTCAATTATCAAGCTCAACAACAACAACAATCGACCTACTTTCAGACACCAACATTACCACCTATAAACAGTTTTACTACTGATTCGTCATTGTTTTCAACTACTAATTCATCCCAAGAAGGAATGTTATCGCCATCAACTTCATCGTCTTTGGCTAGAGATCATGGGCTTCTGCAGGATATGGTGCCATCCCAAATGAGGCCAACAGACCCAAAACAAAATCAGTAGGAGAGAATGAGATCATTATCAATTGGTATGTTAGTTTATTTAACTGATGAATCTTAATTTAGATAGGAACCCCCCATCAACAATTAATTAATTATTAGAAACTTTTAATTTCCCCTAATTAATTAATGCTGTACAATGACTAGCTTATTAATCAACCATAGCTATGAACTTCTTTTTGTTTTATGGGGTAATTAGCTAGCCTTTTCATGTATAATATATAGTCGCAGGATTCTTTCAGTACTTGTTAATTACTTATTTCTTAGTTTTTTAACATTCTGGTTCTTCATCTTTGATTTGTATATTCGTTTATTTCGTTTCTTTTTTAGGGATGGGATATAATTTCTGTACCATTAAAATTACTGGAATTGCATGCATGTGCATTTGTTCTTGACATCAGCGGAATATATTGGACGTTTAGGGTTTTCTCATTCATCCGAGTTGATTTATTCGATCGAAATGTATATAAATGCAGGGTAAGAAGGAAGCCATAACCATAAATTGTTCTTAGCTTTGCTTTATTTGGAATATCCCCTCTTCTCTTCTTGGGTGAAATCCATCCCTTTATACCTTCTTAACTTTAACCTCTCCCTGGGGAAAAGAAGAGACAATTTTAAACCACAAATTGTTCATTAATTTCTTATTAATTAGATCTAAGAGTTAGGCTAATCAAATTATCATACTAGCAGCTAGCTAGTTGTTCTCTTATCTATAAGTATAATATAAATCAATTTCTAGCTCTCCACCACTAAGGTAGCCTAGCCACCAAGATATGACCTTAACTATATCCTACATATGATCTTTAAGGTTGCCACACTACTAACTTTTTGAGCTATTACCTTTTTTTTATGGTATAAGGGTCAAGTATTTGAAATAAATTGACCCGACTAATCCAGATTCATAGCTACCCATTAGGTTTTTCCATTCTAAGAGTTAATCAAACATGAACCTTTTGGTTAAGGGTGAACGTACCTCATCCTTCCCGTTCCCACCACACCTCTTGATGGTACGTACGTAGCGAGCTAGTTTTGTTGATAAACTCTATATATAGGTAGAAGAGCTATATGTGAGAGTATCAATTCCATTGATGATGATGAGTTGATTATCTAGGTGTAGAGGGTGATGTGTGTGTTTGATGGCTCAATGTTCCATTTTAAGGTAAGTCTCAAGGAGCTTTCATGAGTAGGAGGAGGGGAAAGGGCAAGGGTGTATGTATATATGTATATGATGATGAGTACTAAGTAGGAGCATGGCGTCAGATTTTGTTAAAGATTTTAAATGCATATAGTTCAAGTAAATGTACTTACTACAACCATCTCTGACACTCTTTTTGCTTGAAATGTCCACTTCAATTCAATACCATATGCCACTTCTAGCCAAGCATCATTTCTTGCCTACACTATTCTGATTCCAACTTTGATATATGCCTACTCACCAAACTCCACACCTTCTATACCTTCCTATTTATTATATTCCCCATCCTTCCATATTATATATAGAGAGAGCTTAACCAACATGGGTTATGGTGCAGTAGTGAGACTATTAATTCACCCTTAATCAAAGGTCTTGAGTTTGAGCTTTGAGTATGGAAAAAATCATGTTGGGAGTGTCACCTCCAAATGAGCTCTGTTGTGCGCAATCCAAATTTAGTAGGGCTCCAATATGAATTCCGGTGGAAAACCAGTATATATATATATATATGGAGCTTAATTCTTCAATGAGATTTTTTATTTGTTTATTTAAAGCAAATACAAAATTATGTGCATGTTATTATTTCTGTCATATCATGTGTTATGTCAAGATCGGGGCAGGGTTTTAATTAGAAGAGGAAACATCACATAATTTATCAACACCAAATCATCACATGACAATAATTAAACAACAAAAAATGACTAATTAATGCTGCTATACTTAGTTACATGTCATTTTTTATAGTCTTAAAATCAAATAATCAGAAATGTTCTCATATTGGAAAGAACGTAAAAAGAACCTTTTAGAGAAAGACCTTTCCCATAATTAATGCCATATAATAATATATTCACTTTTGTCTGAGTTTAAGTAAGTGGCTTATTATGCAAATAATTTAACGTTGCCAAACATTCGAGTCTCGTCAACTTTTTGGGATCCAAGCCTCGGATGGTGATTCTGTCAGTTCCATTGAGTTTGAAACGTTGAGTCTGATCTAGTATGGTGGTTGGTTAGAGTCCCAAGATCTTAGGTTGTGATTCGGGTATTTAGGTAAAAATTTAATTTTTGGCCTAAAGGAGACAATTACATTGGCTTCAAAACATATTTTATGAATAATTTGCACTATTAATTTGTGTTTATAGGGTTCCAGATGACTTTCGAGGATCAAAAAGATATTTTGAAGATTGATGATGCATACTTTTAGCTGCGAAATCCTACAAACAAGAGCACACATTGTGCTTGTAATTAATTATTATTAAAATTAAATTGATTTCTATCTTCTTGATCAATATAGTTGCATGTTTCATTTTGATTCAAATATTTTTTATCAGTGAATCCAAAAGAATAAGATAAATATGAAGCATCACCATTTCTATCAAGTAAATTGACATGGATCAATAATTAAAGTCACACACATACGTTTAATTTGTATACATTTTTAGTAGGTTTAATTTAGTCAAAATTAATTAGTTACTTTAATTACTTTTTCTTAATAAGGAAACCATTAGATAGTGATCTTACAACCAAACAAAAAAATCATGAAGAATGTGATGGAAAAGCTAGCTTAAAATAAATTCAATCAACATAAGGAATCAGAATTCAACAAAAATAATTGGATTTCACTGTAAAGGGACATAAATTTTTAAATATTCTCTGCCAGTACACTACATTGAAATATTCATTGTAGCTGTATATTAATGTATTTTGTCCATTTTTTTTTATTATTCTTATATCACGTTAGTGGCATTTTCCTGTTCCTATGTTTCATTATTAATTTAGTTCAATGTTTATTTCTAGATTGGTGCGTGGAAAAAGAAAAGTTTATTGAATCGTTTTCAAGTTGGATACTAATTTTATACATTTTTATTTTTTGTCTTTGTTCTAAAATTTCAAGTTGGATACCAAGTGTATATAAATTGGATAAAATATTAACTTGTTTTAGATTGTCTAATTTGGTTGAAATATCAGTTACATTTTTATTTTATTTTTCATTTTCAAGTGGGATATCTGTTGGATACCAATTGAATACAATATTAACTTGTTTAGGTTGTCTAATTTGATTGAAATCTCAACCACAAGTTGATTTTTCAATTTTCCAATGGGATATCAATTCAATACTAAATTTATACAAATTGGATACAATATTAGCTAGTTTTACGTTGGCTATTTCAGTTGAAATCTCAATTACATGTTTTTTTTTTTCAATTTTACCACTGGGATGTCAGTTGGATACCAAATGTATACCAATTTCATACTAAGATTTAACTTAATTTTTCCAGTCAATATCAATTGCATACCAACATTACCTATTTTTTGAGTATACATTTGAAAAACACTGAATAGACAAATGATTAACTAGCACACATAATACTCCCTCCGTTTCATAAATAATGACCTGGTTTGACTTGACACGGAGTTTAAGTAAATAAAGAAGACTTTTGAATCTTGTGGTCCTAAATTAAAGTTATGTCAAATGTACAAAATTGCCCTTAATCTTGTGGTCTTAAACATGCCACGTGGAAAGCAAAAAGTAAAATGTTACCAAAAAAGGAAAGAGGTCCTTCTTTTTTAAACTGACTAAAAAGGAAAGGAGGTCATTCTTTGTGAAACAGAGGGAGTAGATATTTTGAAATTATAATTCATTAACTTAAAAGACAAAATAAATCAAAACATGAGTTTGCCACAATAAAACAGCTAAATAAAAATAAAAATAAATTATGTCTTTTTTTCAGAAGGGTAATTTGAACATGTCTTCCTATTGTGTTCCTCCCGACGACATGTACTGCACATAATCTTAGACCTCTTGAATTTCACATCAGCAAACCATTTACAACTTGTGGTCTCCCTACAAGTTATTATACACAACAAAAAAATCTTAAATCAGTATACAAATTTCATATAATTATTATGCACATTTTTAATTATTATGCACATTTTTCATGCCTATTTCATGCCAAAATTATATCTATTTCATGACATAAGTCGTCACTTTTTCACAGCAGAATCATGACACTATAATACCAAAATAATACCACTTTTAACTATTAATTGTCATTTATTAGACAAACAATATACAATATTTATTCAAATATAATTCTAAAATCGTACCAACATGGTATAACCAATATACCAAATTCAAATAAATTTTATGTAATTTTTTAACCAGAAACATACAAAAAAATGAATGTTCAAACAAAATCTATACCAATTTCAAACAAATTTTATGTAATTTCAAAAGTGAATATTCATACCAAAAACGCCATAATTAAAACTATTATTCACAAACAAAATCTGAATATTTTTTTTCCAGAATCATTGTTCATAATTTTTTTGAACGTTTGGTTTGTATTACAATACAAATAAAAAATCGCAAAGAACACTAACATGAAGGATCCCATCTACCACCATGTTTTATTAATACTAATAAGAAGACGTCCATAAAATAAAGATTATTGAATAAAAACGAATATGAATTAGATGAGAGTGACAAGATTTCTGGAAAAAAATTGAAGAGAGAGAAACGTGGAAGAAAATGGATGAAATCAGAATTTTTAATTAATTTTAACAAATTAGAGTGAAATAAGGAAACTAAATATTTTTAATTAGTTTGAATTTCCTTAATTTATGCTAATTAGTAATTATCTTCAATCAATTCAAATTTAATTAACACACTTATTTCCCTTTTTTACCTTTTTTTTTCAGAAACGAATTATTTTATTTTTTTATGTTTTTATTTTTTTCAAAACAATTTTTTACAATTATTTTGAAAAAGCTTTTTTTTTTTTAAGAAACTGTTACAACTTGAAATTTTTAAT